GGGCAGGACAAATGATGATGGCAATGTAGACAATATGGATAATGCATCCTTGCTTATCCTTTTTTTTTTTGCCTTTAGTAGCTTTTGGCTGTGTGGTCTAGCCAGTCTGCCTTGTCTGGTAGTGGTGCTTTGAGTAGGAATTGTGTGTCTGTTCTGCCTTATGACTGCTCTTAAATGTGGCATGCATCACTGCCACAAAATGACTAATTCATGGAGTTGAAAATATGTAGAATTTCTTGCTCTTTCTGGCTAGATATAAAGGTTGGCTTCAGGGATAGTCCAAATGGCGCCCAACGTTTTTGCCAGAGACTAATTGGTTTATTTATGTTTATATGAAAAAGTTTTCCTCTCCAGTAGATATACCGAAACCCAGTGGGCCTTTTTTCTATTAGGACAACCTCTTGACCTTCTGAAAAAAGGCCAATTGGAAATTGGCTGTTTTGAGGTCCTGTTGAAATTCCAATTACCTTTCTCATATAAAAAAGACATGTTCCAGTACTTTTCCAGGGAATTCTATATTCCAAAGGAAATTCTATATTCCAAGAGAATCTTCTTTGGAATATAGAATTCCCTTTTTAATTCTATATTCTAACCTCAAAAAACTGTTCTGCCTAACTTCATTTGGTGTTTCTTTAAAAAAAATCTGCAAAAATCCTTGATGGTTCATATTTACTGCTACGAACCCAGCATTGAAATTTTCACACAACATCCATGTCTGAGCATCCTATTTCACTACCTCAAAATTCCAATTTGCAGCTTTTCTCTGCTAACCTTTAAATAGCGGAAAATGGCAAAAATATATTTCCCTGTCACTTCGCCTCAAATTCCTTCTCTCATGCTCGGTTTTATATTTCATTATATTTCCATAACAAAATACATTGTAGATATAAATAAATGATCATATGTACATCCGTGTGTGTGTGTGTGTCAAAATATATACACGTAAGTGTGTGTGTGTGTGTGTGTTTCTGTGTTCATGCCATATATGTTACCATAATTAACTGCGAAAATTTTAATTGCTAATATGTTCTGTTTGTACAAAGTACTTTGTACATATGTGTGAAAAGTGAATTTATATGTGCGCTTTTCCACACACACCTAGCTACATATATGTATGCATTTATGTACTGGCTTTATGTAAATGCCAGAATTCTCAATAGCCCACATATCACCCATGTCGAGTGGTGAAGAAGAAGTGGAAGAGGGGAGTTGAAAAAAGTGTTGAAATTAACAATTTTTGCCGTGCAAGGCAGCAAAACAGCAAAGTGGCTAGCAAATGAAACTGCAGTTAAACAAACATATGGAGTACTGGGAGATACGCTACAGGGTGGCTAGAAGGTTTTGTCATAGGAGACCAGAAGGTCTTCTTAGAGAAGACCAGAATTTGTTTTTTTTATAGAAGACCAGAAGGTCTTTTTATAGAATGATATCTTCGAAAAGACCAGAAGGTCTTCTTGTAGAAGACTAGAAGGTCTTCTTATAGAAGGCCAGAAAGTCTTCTCAAAGAAACCCAGAAGGTCTATTTATAGAAGACCAGAAGGCCTTCTTTGAGAAGACCATAAGACCGGAAGGTCTTCTTATAGAAGGGCAGAAGGTCTTCTTATAGAAGAGCAGAAGGTCTTCCTATAGAAGACCAGAAGGTCCTCTTATAGAAGACCAGAAGGTCTTCTTAAATAGAAGACCAGAAGGTTTTCTTATATAGAAGACCAGAAGGTCTAGTTATATAGAAGACCAGAAGGTTTACTTATATAGAAGACCAGAAGGTCTTCTTATATAGAAGACCAGAAGGTCAAGACCAGAAGGTTTTCTTATATAGAAGACCAGAAGGTCTACTTATATAGAAGACCAGAAGGTCTTCTTATATAGACGACCAGAAGGTCTTCTTATATAGAGGACCAGAAGGTCTTCTTATATAGAAGACCAGAAGATCTTGTTATATAGAAGATCAGAAGGTCTTCGTATATAGAAGACCAGAAGGTCTGCTTATATAGAAGACCAGAAGGTCTTCTTATATAGAAGACCAGAAGGTCTTCTTATATAGAAGACCAGAAGGTCTTCTTATATAGAAGACCAGAAGGTCTTCTTATATAGAAGACCAGAAGGTCTTCCTATAGAAGACCAGAAAGTCTTTCTATAGAAGACCTGAAGGTCTTCCTATAGCAGACCAGAAGGTCTTCCTATAGCAGACCAGAAGGTCTTCTTATATAGAAGACCAGAAGGTCTTCTTATATAGAAGACCAAAAGGTCTTCTTATATAGAAGACCAGAAAGTCTTCTTATATAGAAGACCAGAAGGTCTTCTTATATAGAAGAGCAGAATCTTTTCTTGGTTAGAAGACCAGAAGGTCTTCCTATAGAAGACCAGAAGGTCTTCTTATATAGAATACCACAAGGTATTCTTATAGATGACCAGAAGGTCTTCTAATATAGAAGACCAGAAGGTCTTCTTATATAGAAGAACAGAAAGTCTTCTTATATAGAAGACCAGAAGGTATTCTTATATAGAAGACCAGAAGGTCTTCTTATATAGAAGACCAGAAGGTCTTCTTATATAGAAGACCAGAAGGTCTTCTTATATAGGAGACCAGAAAGTGTTCTTATATAGAAGACCAGAAGGTCTTCTTATATAGAAGACCAGAAGGTCTTCTTATATAGAAGACCAGAAGGTTTTCTTATATAGAAGACCAAAAGGTCTTCTTACATAGAATAGCAGAATGTCTTCTTATATAGAATAGCAGAAGGCCCTGAAGGCCTTCTTAGAGAAGACCTGAAGACCTTCTTATAGAAGACCTGAAGACCTTCTTACAGAAGACCTGGTGATCTTCTTATAGAAGACCTGGTGGTTTTCTTATAGAAGACCTGGTGGTCTTCTTATAGAAGACCTGAAAGTCTTCTTATAGAAGACCTGCTGGTCTTCTTATGGAAGACCTTAATGTCAGCTATTGTACCCTGCTAGTTTTGAGGTAGCTCAATCCCGTTCGACTTGGGATAAACCTTTGCCGCACAAATGTAGTTTCTGCTAAACTACTAATTTGTTCTGCATAAATTTCGCCACTGCACTTTGCCGAATGGTTGCACAACTCACTGACTGACTGACTGGCTGGCTGGCTGACTGATTTCGTATGTTAACAATCTGGGCTTATTTCTTGCCTTTTTCCATGGCTGCGTGCAACGCAAGGAAAATTAACTCGTTTTACAGTTACACAGCCTCTCTGTTTCTGGGTTAAAATTGTTAATTAGAAGCAGAAATGGCGCCCAAGTGTGTGGGTGAGTGTGTGAGCGAGCGAGTGAGCGTTATTTGTAAGTTTTACGCATCAGCAATTTTAACCAGACGTAATTAATTCATAACAAAATGCAAAAATAATGTTATTCAAGATTTTGAGCTATGATGTCAGGCGATAAGAGTTGGAAAAAAGAAGCAAAAAATTTGCCGTATGTAGAAAGGATAATTTTTAATTAGTAAATTGGATGCAGAACACGAAAGTGAAGAAGAAGTAAGAAAAAGGTGCGTTTTCTAAAATTCAAGTTCAATATTGAGTATTAAATTTAAAATATTTAATTTGTATCCAAAACAAGCAAAAAAGCTTTAAGTTCGGCCGGGCCGAACATTGAATACCCTCCACCACTTGGAACGAATTTGGCAATTTTCAAACAAATAAAACCCGTTAAAAATTCAGTTAAAATCTTAAAAATACCAAAAGTAGCCGTCATATTAGGGTCTATACATCAAAATACCGAATATAGGGAGATACTATCATATGGGGCCTATACCAAAACGTGGACATGCACGGACAATTTTTTGTCATAGGCTGTAGTATTCATTACGAACTTCAAAACCCGAATTTGAAACAATTTCGGTTAATAATGCCGATAAAATTATCAAAATACCGAATATCGGGAGGTTCCGTTATATGAGGGCTATACGAAGACGTGGACCTGCACAGAAAATTTTCTGTCATAGGCTGTAGTATCTGTTACGAACTTCATTTACCAAATTTGAAAAAATTCCGGTAAATAACGTCGCTAAAGTCATCAAAGTATCGGATATCGGGAGGTACCGTTATATGGGGGCTATACGAAGATGTGGACCTGCACAGACAATTTTCTGTGTTAGGCTGTACCATCCATTACACACTTCATATACCGAATTTGAAACAATTCGGGTGAATAATGTTGCTAAAATCATCAAAATACCGAGTATCGGAAGGTACTGTTATATGGGGGCTATGGGAAAACTTGGACCTACACAGACAATTTTCTGTCATAGGCTGCAGTATTTATTATGAACTTTAAAATCCAAATTCGAAACAATTCCGATGGATAATGTCGTTAAAATCATCAAAATACCGAGTATCGGGAGGTACCGTTATATGGGGGCTATACGAAGACTTGGACCTGCACAGACAATTTTCTGTCATAGGCTTTAGTATCTATTACGAACTTCAAATACCAAATTTGAAACAATTCCGGTAAATAATGTCGCTAAAATCATAAAAATACCGAATATCTGGAGGTACCGTTATATGGGGGCCATACAAAAACGTGGACCTACATGACCCATTTTCAATACCAAAATTCCTGCATACATAATACACATTTAAATAAAATTTTATCAATTTACTCCATTTCGTTCTGAAGCTAGAGTGATTTCCACAGACGGACAGACGGATAGACGGATAAACGGACAGACGGACGGACATCTCTACATCGCCAAAGGATTTTATTCTGATCGAGAAAATATTTACTTTGTGGGGTCTAAAATGTATATTTCGAGGTGTTGCCAACGGAATGACAAACTTAATATACCCTCCATACTATGGTGGAGGATATAAAAAAGGACACTCGTATTACAAGGGAATTTCTTGGAATTTTTTTCTATAGGTCTTCAAATACACTTCAAGGCCTGGAAAGTTTTTAGAATTTAATCACAAATTTTGGAATTTCCAAGGCCTTCTTGCCAAACATATTTTTATGGAATTCCATCACTTTCAAACGATTATAAAAAAATGTAAATAAAATTTATTTAATATTCAAAAAAATATACATAAAAAAATATAAAACATTTACAAAAATATATGCAATTCAATTACTCTCTACACACATTTTTTTCTCTCATAGACTAGTTATTTCGGAATCTCCATTCGCTATGGCAGTGTTGCCATTTCTGGCAGTTTGGTTATGGCCATTTTCAGTTTTCGCTGCCCCATCGGCTTTCATTTGAGATTTACGGCGTCTGACCACAATGTAACAAATACTGTTTGGAATTTTGAAATTGCCCGGAAGTAGAGGAAGACGAAATGTTAGGAGACATAGAAAGAGAGAAAGAAAGAGGTTAAAGAAGAAATTAACAATTTTGAGATTAGTTCACAGCGATGACTTTTGAGCTAGACGAAATTTCAGAGTCATTGTTAAATATACTGACATAAAGACAATAATGTTGGGTATCGCAAACACTTCACTGAACAGGAAAATTGCCCCCGGAAAGGAGTCGACGGTCTTCTCATAGATGTCACTGTAGATGGGCACGAAAATCAGCTGGGCCAATGGCTGGCAAATACTGAATATTGAGAACATTTTACCTGTAAGAGAGAAAGAAAGAAAGAGATAGGGAATGAGAGAGAGAATGAGAGAGAGTGGAGGGATATTCAGTTTTTTGTTTTGTATGCAAGATTACTTACTAAGCTCCTCCTCATCCACAATACTAGAGCCAATTGTCTTAATGGCAATAGCTCTCAATGACACAAAACTGTCAGCCACACCACCGGCATAAAAAGTGGCGGTATCACTTGCAAAGGCCTGAAATGGAAAATAGGTTGTATATTAAATACTACTTTCATTGTGTCCTCAGCCATATGGCTAGAGAGGGTATAAAGGGTGAGATAAAAAAAACCAGTAAGGAAAGCTCAAAAGTCGGGCGGGGCCGACTATATGATACCCTACACCACTATGCATATTTAGTAGAGCTCTCGTAAAAAGGTTTATACAGGGCATTTCAGAGCTCTATGAGATATTTGGTACAAAATCAAAATCTATCTAATTCTATCGTGCATTTTACGAACTAAAACTATCTCTGAACCGGGTTTCTCCAAATTTGACGTATTAGCTTCTAGACTGAATTCGGTCTTATGTACGAAAATTCAGGTGATTTGGCCTGATATTGACCATTTAGTGCACATTTAACCCGAAATCGGATGAAGATATATATGGGAGCTATATCGAAATCTGAACCGATTTCGATAAAATTTAAAACAGCTATTCCTGTGCTCCATCTAATACTTGGTACCAAATATCACGGTTGTGGAGTGAATATTACGAATGTATGGGACTAAAACACTAAATCGGATGAAACATATATATGGTTGCTATATCTATATCTGAACCGATTTTCACTAAATTTGATATACTTGCTTCTAGGCTGAATTTGGTCCGATGTACTAAAATTCAGTCCATTTGGACTTATATCGGCCGTTTGGTGCACAATTAACCCGAAATCGGATGAAGATATATATGGGAGCTATATCCAAATCTGAACCGATTTCGATAAAATTACAAACAGCTATTTCTGGGCTGTATCTTATATCTGGTACCAAATATCATTCTAGTGGAGTGCATATTACGAATGTTAGAGGCTTAAACACCAAATCGGATAAAACATATATATGGGAGCTATAGCTGTTTCTGAACCGATTTTCTCCAAATTTGTTGTATTTGCTTTAAGGCTAATCTCGGTCACATGTGCCAAAATCGGATGAAGATATATATGGGAGCTATATCCAAATCTGAACCGATTTCGATAAAATTTCAAACAGCTATTTCTGTGCTCCATCTAATACCTGGTCCCAAATATCACGGTTGTGGAGTGCATAGTAGGAATGTGAGGGACTTAAAGATCAAATCGGATGAAAGATATATATGGGAGCTATAGCTATATCTGAACCGATTTTCTCCAAATTTTATATACTTGCTTCTAGGCCGAACTCGGTTGGGTGTGCCAAAATTCAGGTAATTTGGACTGATAGTGGACATTTGGTGCTCATTTAACCCGAAATCGATTGAAGATATATATGGGAGCTATATCTAAATTTGATCCGATTCACACCAATTTCAATAGGGTTCGTCCTTGGACCAAAAAAATATTGTTTGGAAAATTTCATCTCAATCGGATAATAAATGCGACCTGCATTTTGTTCACAAGAATACATGGACAGACGGACGGACGGACAGACGGACGGACATGCATAAATCGACTCAGAAAGTGATTCTATGAAGGTTCTCAAAAGTAACTATGGGTCTATCTCGTTTCGTTCTCCATGTTACAAACAAATGCACAAAGACATAATACCCTTACCACTATGTGGTGTAGGGTATAAAAACTGCAACAAAGTCAAACGCCGTAATTTTTACATTTTTATACTCTCCACCATAGTATGGGGGGTGGGTATTTTAAGTTTCTCAATTCGTTTGTAACACATCGAAATACATATTTTAGACCCCACAAAGTGTATATATTCTTGATCAGCATAAAATTCTATGGCGATTTAGCGATGTCCGTCCGTCTGTGGAAATCACTCTAGCTTCCGAACAAATTGAAGTAGATTAATAAAATTTTGCTCAAATGTATGTTATGTCTGCAGGACTTTTGGCATTGAAAATTGGCCATATAGCTCCACGTTTTGGTATAGCGCCCATACAACGGTACCTCCCGATATTCGGTATTTTTATGATTTTAGCGACATTATTCACCGGAATTGTTTCAAATTTGGTATTTGAAATTCGTAATGGATACTACAGCCTAAGACAGAAAATTAGTCATGTAGGTCCACGTCTTCGTATAGCCCCCATATAACGGTTCCGCCCGATATTCGGTATTTTGATGATTTTAGCGACATTATTTACCGGAACTATTTCAAATTTGGTATTTGAAGTTCGTAGTGGATACTACAGCCTCTGCCAGAAAATTGTATATGCAGGCTTATGACAAGCGACGTCTTATAGACCCTAATATACGGCTACATTCGGTATTTTTAAGATTTTAACAGAATTTTTAATGCATTTTAATTTTTTGAAAATTGCCAAATTTGTACCACATGGTGGAGTGTATTCAAATTTCGCCTGAACTTATAGCTTTTTTTACTTGTTTTTTATTTATTTTTTGAAAGAAAACAAAATATGTCCGAAAAAGCATAAAATTTTAGAAAAGGTTTAGATTTGTTCGAATTGGTCATGTTTGACACGAATTATGGCCTTCAAACGGCCAATGAAAACGTCATACGCTGCCCGAATGTTGTTCTGCGGTTTTTGGCCCATTCCAGGCGAAGCACTTGCTTAAGGTGATCGACGCTTTCGTATTTTTTAGTGTCAACCTGGCTTTCCAAAATACTCCAGACACAATTGTCCAACGAATTGGTATTCCGGGATTTTGGTGGCCATTGTGCGCTGGAAATGAAGGGAGAAACCTCATTTTGTAACCATGGCGCGTGCTGAGTTCTGTTGGAATATCCAAGATCTGCGGACAAAATATTTGCGTGCCCGAGGCTTTCATACACCCTCCAGAATATTTTCGCGATAATATTCGGTATTAATTCTAATGTCACTGTCGATTAATACGAGCGGAGAGCGATCATCGGCTGTTATGGCGGCTCACACCATTACCATGGCAAGCGCTTGATTTCTGGTGGCGAACCGAAGGTGCAAATTTTCAGCTGACCTCTTTGGCAAGTAAACCCGATCATTTTGTTTGTTTACAAACTGCTGGACGACAAATGTTTTTTTCGTCGGAGAAAACCAAATTCAACTGTTCACCACTTTCGGCCAAGCGAAACAACTCCTTAGCTCTTTTGAGCCTATTTTCCCTTTTTTTTTTTGCGGTGTAAGTTCTTGCACTTTTGGGAATTTCAATGGCTTTACCTCGAGCTCATTTTTTATTATTTTCTGAATGGAATATTGGATATGTTCACCTCACGAGCCATTTTTCGGCCACTGCGATGCGGATTTCGATCAAGTCGCTTCTTTACTTTTCGCACAATTTTTGCTGGTGTTGCTGTTTTCTTCCGTCCACTTCCTTGACGTCGGGCTACGCTACCAGTATCACGGCACGGTAACGAGCGATGGTACGAGACACAAAAAATTTATTCACATTTAAATGCTGGAGTGCTCTAACGATAGCCACTTGTGGTTTAACAGCCAAAGATAAGGAAAACAAACTAGCACGCTTGAATTCCATCGCGAATAACTTTTTTTTCTGGAAAATTCTCACCAAAATGCCTATGTGCGCTCATAAACAATATAATTAGCTGTCACTGGAGTAATTTTAACAGCTGTCGGATGAGTGGCTTAGCAATGACAGCAGTCTGAAGTTGGTTGTAGTTTTTTCATCTCAGCCTGTATATCATTTGATACGGTCAAAAAGTGCCTGGTCGTTTTAACGGTTTTGGTCTTTTGACCAAATTCGTTTCAGGACATTTGGAGCGATGTCCGTCTGTCTGTCTGGCTACTTGGTGCACACGATAACTCTCGAAGGAAGTATCTCATTTAATCAGAACTTGATTCATCGTAATGTTATTATAAAACTTAAGTTGAGTTCGGAGATGGGGAAATATCGGACCACTCCTTCTGATTCAAATTTTTGAATAATTATAACTCTTATAGACGATGATGTAAGATTACGATTGGCTTCAAATTACACAGCTCACCATAATTTTCTTAACACAATTTATCGGCCCATCCTTCTGGAAACACCCCCCCCCTCCCCCTCAACAAAAAAGGGTCAAAATATTTAATACCTTTGAATCTTTTTAATTCGGGCTTGTATTAACCATTTGGTGCGAAATTAATTTGAAATCGGATAAAAATATATATGGGAACTATATCCAAATCTGGACCGATCTTGATAAAATTTGGCAAAGATATTTCTGAGCTATGTTTGATATATTTCCCTGAATATCGTTGTTACGGAGTGCATATTACGGCTGTGGGTAACAAATATAACAAATCGGATGAACTCTATATATATGGGAGCTATAGCTATATCTGAACCGATCTTTACCAAATTTGACATACTAGCTTCTAGACTCAATTCGGTCGTAAGTGCCAAATTCCATCACATTTGGTTAAATATTAGACGTTTGGTGCACAATTTGGTGGTAAATCGGACAAAGTTATATATGGGAGCTATATCTAAATCTGAACCGATTTCGATAAAACTTATCAAATGTATTTCTGAGCTGTATTTGATATATTTCCCGAAATATTGTTGTTAAAGAGTGCATATTACGGCTGTGGAGGACAAAAATAAAAAATCGGATGAACAATATATATGGAAGCTATAGCTATATCTGAACCGATTTCGATCAAATTTGGCATACTTAGTTTCAGGTCCAATTTGATCGTACGTGCACAATTCCATACTATTCGGACAGCTATTACAAGTTTGTTGCACAATAAAAGTCAAATCGGACGAAGATATATATGGGAGGTATATCCAAATTTTGACCGATTATCTTCAATTTCAATAGGGTTCGTCCTTGGGCCAAACAAATGATTTGTGCAATATTTCATCTAGATAGGGCAATAAATGCGAACTGTACTTTGTTTACAAAAAATACATGGACAGACGGACGGACGGACATGCATAAATCGACTCAGAATGTGATTCTATGCAGATCATCAAAATGAACTATGGGTCTATCTCGTTTCCTTTGCCTGTTACAAACAAATGCACAAAGACATAATACCCTGGTCACCTTGTGGTGTAGGGCATAAAAAACAAGTAAAAAAGCTATAAGTTCGGCCGGGTAGAACTTTGAATACCCTCCACCATTTGGAACGAATTTCGAAATTTTCAAAAATCATCAAAATTCCGAATATAGGGAGGTACCATGGGAGTTGTAAAACGTGGACTTGCACAAACAATTTTTTGTCATAGGCTGTAGTATCCCTTACGAACTTCAAATACCAAATTTGAAATAATTCCGGTGAATAATGTCGCGGAAATCATCAAAATACTTCATTTCGTTCGGAAGGTAGAGTTATTTCCACAGACGGACATACGGACAGACAGATAGACGGACGGACATCGCTAAATCGGCATGGAATTGTATGCTGATCAAGAATATGCATACTTTGTGGGGTCTAAAATGTGTATTTCGAGGTGTTACAAATGGAATGACAAACTCAATATACCCTCCATGCTACGGTGGAGAGTATAAAAACATTAAGCTCGACCGGGCTGAAATTAATACCCTCTACCTTAGGGCAAATGGAAACATTAGAACTCCTCATGACCCTCAAATTCCAGTTTTTAGACATATTCATGGGAAATTGTATCAAAAATCATCAAAATACCGAATATCGGAAGGTACCGTGGTCCTATACATACTATGTTTCGCCAACGGAACTAGAACCCATTACGACCCCACAAACACCAATTTTTAGACAAATCTGCGAAGAATTGTGGCAAAAATAATCAAAATACTGAATATTGGTAGGTACCGTGGACCTATACATACAATGTTTCGCCAATGGAGCTAGAACCCAGTAGGACCCAAAAACACCAAAGTTTAAACAAATCCGCAAAGAAATGTGGCAAAAATAATCAAAATACCGAATATCGGGAGGTACCTTTATATGGGAGGTATACCAAATAAGAGGAGTTTCGCCAAATTTCTACATAGAATTCTGAAAGAAATTATTGGAGGACGCCGCACCAGAGGCAAGGAGAAGATGTCTCCTTGCAAAAGTTTAATATTTATTTGTTTGTTCTCAATTTTTGTTTTCAAAAATTTATTCCAAAATTTTGAAATACTTAATACAGATGGACAGACATCGCTAAATCGGTATAGAATTTTATGCTGATCAAGAATAGATATTCTTTGTGGGGTCTAAAATGTATATTTCGAGGTGTTACAAACTGAGTGACCAACCTAAGATACCCTCCATGTTATGGTGGAGGGTATAAAAACATTCAGTTCGGCCGGGCTAAGCTTTGAATGCCCTCTACCTTACGGCAAAAGGAAACGTAAGAGCTCATTATGACCGATAAATACCAATTTTTAGACATATTCGTGGGAAAAAGTGTCAAAAATCATCAAAATACCGAATATCGGAAGGTTCCGTGGACCTATACATACTATGTTTCGCCAACGGAGCTAGAACCCATTACGACCCCACAAACACCAATTTTTAGACAAATCTGCGAAGAATTGTGGCAAAAGTAATCAAATTATCGAATATCGGGAGGTACGGTTATATGGGAGGTATACCAAATAGGAGGAGTTTCGCCAAATTTCTACAATGGAGCCAATGGAGCTAGAACCCATTAGGACCCAAAAACACCAATTTTTTAGACAAATCCGCGAAGAAATGTGGCAAAAATTATCAATATACCGAATATCGGGAGGTACCGTTATATGGGAGGTATACCAAATAGGAGGAGTTTCGCCAAATTTCGACATAGAATTCTGAAAGAATTTATTGGAGGACGCCGCACCAGAGGTAAAGAGAAGATGTCTCCTTGCAATAGTTTAATATTTATAGTCCGATTTTTGTTTTCAAAAATTTATTTCAAAATTTTGAATTACTTACAAATAACACTCTCGATAGTGCTGTTGTCACGGATGATACAAAGCCCACCAGGGCATCGGAAAGCTTGAGTAATTTACTCAATATGGCTGTGCCAAAGAAGGTACCTGAAACCAAAAAAAAAAAAAAAAAAAAATGAGAACAAAATTATGATTTACTCTTTTCAAATTTTACCCTCTCCCCTCTTCACTTACCGGCCAAGGCCAGGGCCGCTATAAATGTCGAATAAACACTGTAGTCATTGCCATTCCAATTCAATTTTTTAAATGCAAAACGGTTCCAAAAATCATTTTCACCCAACGATGGACCCACGGTAAACATATAGGCCATGATTAGGAATATAAGCAGCATGCGACCCCGATTGGGTCGTTTTTTCAGAGGAAACTTGACATAGTCAACAACCAAGGAGGGATCGAAAAAGTCTTTGAAAACATTTCGCTTTTCGTGACTTGCTGTTGCATCAACGGTATCAGTACCGGTTCCATTGCTCGGACGTGGCGCCGTGGGTAAATCTTCCAGTTGGGTAACTTCATAGGCGGGATTTTCAGTGCCACCCGCCGTAACAGCTTTGCCGTTGGCATCATCGTTCGTCATCGTTGATGGTTTCAATTCCTTGATAATAAAAATCACATACAACAGGGCAATGATATTGAACGAGAATGCCATGGTGAAGGACCCTGCCAAGAGATTTTTGTTATGAGATCAATTAATGAAAAATATAAATTTCCTGGTACTTACACCGATATCCCAGGAAGTTAAAGAGTACCCCACTAATGGGTTGGCCTATAAATGGCAACATGTTCGCAAACATGCCAAAAATCCCAAATCTAAAAATGGAAAATAGAGCAATGACAAATAGAAAAGGTTAAATGAAAAAAATATGCAAATACGTTGGGCGCCACTTTGAGTTCATTTCACTTGTTATTTTCATTTTAAGGAAAATAGCGAAAGCACTTCGGAAAGCCCTTCGTTATTATGTTCCATGCATACTTCTATTTAAAGCAAGTACTTGTTTTTAGCCAACTTTTGTGCTGAAGAAAATCCAAAATACCAAATGGCGCCCAACGTTTATTTACCAGACCGTTTATATTTATTTACCTAAATACCCGATCGGGTTCTGGCGTTGATATTGTTATATAACTGTCAATGGCCATCAAACACAATGTATTGCCACCAAACAAGGCCGGCACAATAGCTTCGCTGTATGCTCCAAATTCCATGGGGATTTTGTCAAAAAATATCGCCGATACCAGCAAACCTTCTTCGTGAAATGGTTTTGGAATGAGAACATTATTTTTTTTGGAAGGCTATTCTAGGGGAGGATTTCTTTTTTTGTTTACTTACACAAAAACATAAGACTTTCACCGATCAGCGGAAAAACCATACAAGCCTTGCGTTTATTGTAACGATCACTCCAGCCGCCAGCAAAGAGCATGACAATCAGGGGGAAAATGGCAGCTGGAAGTAAAGGAAAGGTGGCAGGTTTAATAAAATTTTAAAGAATAGATCTATATTTTTCCCTCTCTCTCCCGTTCTCTCTCTCTTTTAGAGGAACTGAACCCTTCGTAATAATAGAGAAAAAATCCTGCAAATTATGAAAGCAGAGCTAAATTATGAAGACACCTTTGTTTGTAAGTTTACATCGCAAAGTAACAGCGGGGGCATGTTCACCCTCTTCAACATTTTTATACCCTCCACCATAGTATGGAGGGTATATTAAATTTGTCATTCTGTTTGTAGCACCTCGAAATATACATTTTAGACCCCACAAAGTATATATATTCTTGATCAGTATAAAATTCTACGTCGATTTAGCGATGTCCGACCGTCTATCCGTCTGTGGAAATCACTTTAGCTTCCCAACGAAATGAAGTAGGTTGATAAAATTTTACTTAAATGTATATTATGTCTTTTGGCATTGAAAATGGGATATGTATGTCAACGCTTTGGTATAGCCCCCATATATCGGTACATCCCTATTTTCGATATTTTGGTGGTTAAAGCGAGACCGGAAATATTTAAAATTTGGTATTTGAAGTTCGTAATGAATACAAGAGCCTAAGACAAAAAAATTGTCTGTACAGGTCTACGTTTTGGTATATACTCCATATACAGGGTGAGATAAAAAAACTGCGACCAACTTCAGATTGCTGTCATTTTTAAGCCACTAGTCCGACAACTGTTAAAATTATTCCAGCGAAAGCTCATTATATTGTTTACAAGCGGACAAAAGCATTTTGGTGAGAATTTTCCAGAAAAAAAAATTATCCGTTATGGAATTCAAGCGTGATAGTGTGATCTCTTTATATTTGGCTGGAAAACCACAAGTGGCTATCGGTAGAGCACTCCAGCATTTAAATGTGAATAAATGTTTTGTGTCTCGTACCATCGCTCGTTACCGTGATACTGGTAGCGTAGCTCGACGTCAAGGAAGCTGACGGAAGAAAACAGCAACATCAGCAGAAATGTTTCGAAAAGTAAAGAGGCGACTTGATCGAAACCCGCGTCCCCGATATTCGGTATTTTGATGGTTTTAGCGACATTATTCACCGGAATTGTTTCAAATTTGGTGTTTTAAGTTCGTAAAGGATAGTACAGCCTAAGACAGAAAAGTGTCTTTGTATGTCCACATCTTGGTATTGCCCTCATGGTACCTCCCTATATTCGGTATTTTGACGATTTTAGCGACATTATTCACCAATTATTTAAGATTTTAACAGAATTTTTAATGACTTTTATTTTGTTTCTTTTTTTTTTTTTTTGAAAATTGCCAAGTTCATTCTCAATGTTGGAGGGTATTCAAAGTTCGTCTCGGCCGAACTGCCATTTATCCTCACATCATTAGAATAATCATTTTGGGATTTTTTGACGAAAGCAATTAAAATATTCCAACATCAAGCGATTAGCAAATATTTGTTTGATTGGAAAATCACTTTTATTTATAAGTTCTCAAAACAAAACAAAAAAAATAATGCACATACATACATACATACTATACATGTGATTATGACGACATCAACGCCGCCAGACATAAAGGTCATTAGTGACTTAAATCTCCCATTGAACATGAACTTGAATTTGGGATTTAACTGTTGGTGGCGATTTTAAAATTTCTAAACAATTTTCAGATTTTCAGGTGGGTCGAGGTTCCCCCAACCCTCTCTCTCTTTTCCCCCCTCACCCTTAAGACATTACCTTTAAGAGATTTTCAGCACATTTTAAATAGATTACTTGTTGTTATGTTCGTTAAAACAACATCACCAAGACCCACCCCCTTTTTCTATTTTTCTGACTACGTCCCTGGTTCTAAGTCACACAAATTAAGCATAGCACAAGTTGAAGATTAAGTTCAGCTATGTCTAGCGACTTGATTAGTTTACAATTTTGTAAATGCTTAACCAGTTTGAAATCAATATCACTCTCTTTCCCCCCTTTCTCTTTCTCTCTTCATGTATGTGGTGCTGTAAATTCCACTCAACTATGAATGAACCCGCTTTTTGGGGAGCGCAGCTACATTCTTGATTGATGTTCTATTGTGTGGCGATCGCTTCTTTTATGGTTTGACTGGTTTTTCAATTTTGGAATTTTTGGTAGTGTTTTGATGTTGTTTTTTTTTTTTTTTTTTTTTGTTCTTTTTGGTTGATTTTGGACGAAAACACGTGCTGCTGCCATGAATATGCTAAATTCGGATGATTACTTTTATTTTAATAGCTAATTTGAAATATTTTTCTAGGAAGATGCGTTAAATAAATTTCAGAACTTTTAATCATGAAATGGAAATTTTATTTAATTATATAATTTAATTATATTATATATGTGGAACTATCAAATTATAAGAGAATTTTGGATTTTGCCCCTAAATAAAACTGTGCGACAAAATTCAATGTTTTCCAATAATTACAGGAAAATCCAAGAGATTATGAGAGTAGGGCTAAAAATAGAAGACACGTGTCACGGTGTTTTCAAAAGTTTAAATCGCAAAGTGGCCTAAAAGGAAAGTTCCTCCCTCTTCCATAGTTTTTGAAGTTTTTGGATTAAGATTCCTTGAAACGAGTCGATTTTTGGAATACAGTGTCTTCAGCAATAATACTAACAATACGAGGATTATTTTGCTGGATTATTTTGCACCAAAGCGGTCGTTTTGGCCCTTTTTGCAAAGTATGGTTAAGAAATTCCTTTCTAACTCCTTTTTTAAATATTGTACAAAATTATTTATCATAAAATTTTACTCTAAGTATTAGCAGACGCCAAAAGTCTAAATTTTACCTAAACCCCAGCAACTCAAAAAAAAAAAAATAATTTTTAGGGCTGAATTCGTATTTAATTTGAGTTTATGCTAAATTCTCCTACAAAGCATCATTTTATATGGATCAGGGTCAAAAACAATGTTCCTCGTCGGGTTTCAAGAAAAGAAATCTCTATTTGCATTAGACATCAAGAAAATATATACATCAGTATAACAAATAAAAAACAAAAAACTAAAAAAAAATCTATAAGTTCGGCCGGACTGAACTTTGAATACCCTCCACCATTTGAAACGAATTTGGAAATTTCAAAAAAAAAAATAAATAAATAAATGAAATAAAATAAAATCCATTAAAAATTCTGTTAAAATCCTAAAAATACCGAATGTAGCCGATATATCAGGGTCTATACGACGACGTGGGACTGCATCTTTTGTAATAAGCCACTACAATTTTCAAATGGGAAATTTGAAAAAAATCGGTGAAAAATTAGCTAAAATCATCAAAATACCGAAGATAGGGAGGTACCTTTATATGAGAGCTATACCAAAACGTAGACCTGCACAGACAATTTTCTGCCATAGGCTGTAGTATCCCTTACGAACTTCAAGTACTAAATTTGTAACATTTCCGGTGAATAATGATGCAAATATCATCAAAATACCGAATGTGGGGAGGTGCCGTTATATGGGGGCTATACGAAGACGTGGATCTGCACGGACAATTTTCTGCCTTAGGCTGTAGTATTTAGTAGGAACTTCAAATACCAAATTTAAAACATTTCCGGTGAATAATGTCGCTAAAATCATTAAAATACCGAATATCGGAAGGTACTCTTATGTGAGGGCTATACGAAGACTTCGACCTGCACAGACTATTTTCTATCATAGGTTGTAGTATCCGTTACAAAGTTTAAGTACCTAATTTGAAACAATTACGATGAATAATGGAGCTAAAATCATCAAAATACCGAATATCGGGAGGTACTGTTATATGAAGGCTATACCGATGAGAAAACATTCGTTTTCCAGCTGTTTGTAAACAAACAAAATGGTCGGGTTTACTTGCCAAAGAGGTCAGCTGAAAATATGAACCTTTGGTTGGCCACCAGAACTCAAGAGCCGGCCATGGTGATGGTGTGGGACGCCATAACAACCGATGGTCGCTCTCCGCCCGTATTAATCGATCGTGGCATCAGAATAAATGCCGAATACTATGGAAGCCGAATATTATTCTGGAGGGTGTATTAAAGCCTTGGGCAAAAAGCACGCAAACATTTTGGCCGCAGACCTTGGACATTCCAACAGGTCTCAGCACCATCACACTCAGCACGCGCAACCCAAGAATCTTTACAAAATAAGGTTCCTTGCTTCATTTCTAGCACACAATGCCCACCAAAATCTCCGGATACCAATCCGTTGGACTATTGTGTCTGGAGTATTTTGGAAAGCAAGTTTTTCACTAACAAATACCAAAGTGTCGATAACCTCAAACAAGTGCTTCGCCGGGAATGGCCCAAAATACCGCAGAGCAACATTCGGGCAGTGTGTAACAGTTTTATTGGCCCTTTGAAGGCCGTAATTTGTGCCAAAGGTGACCAAATCGAATAAATCTAAAATTATTTTAAAATTTGATGCTATTTCCGACATTTTTTCCATTCATTCAATAAACGCCCATCTATCCGTCTAACCGTCTGTGGAAATCACTCAGCTTCCGAACGAAATAAAATAGATCGATAAAATGTTACTTTTTAACTTTTAGTATTGTAAATGGGTCATGTAGGTCCACGTTTTAGAATAGCCCTGCAGTGTAAATATCGAAAAATTTATAAATAAATATAAGAAGTGATCTGAAGGTTTTGCCAGGCGAAAGATGATGAATTTCTGAAATCTTCTTTTGCGTTGCCTGCAAATCCAACGGAACCCACCAGGCAGATAGGTATGACTTAATCGGCAAAAAATTGTCATTTTGTCGCTTTTGTTATTTTACATTTGGCCTTGAAAGCGAATACCCATCAATAAATCAAATCTATAATCACAGAGAGCTTGATTATTTCTGCGTATTTATTTAAATGTCAGCGGTAGTTTTGTTTCCAGCTTTTTTTATCCGGTTCTCTCTATCTTGATGTATGTATTACGTATATCTTTGTTGCTTTGTTTAAGAAATTTGCCTTGTTCAAGAATATTGAATTCTAAATTACTGGACGAGAACAAG